AAAAAAAAAAAAAAAAAAAAAAAAAAAAAAAAAAAAAAAAAAAAACTTTAAGTACATTGCTCAAAGTGAATCATTTTAGTGAGCAGGGAGGTAGGAATTGAACGCCGAGGTCTGTGTGATTCCAAATTTCCTATTCTTTCCATAAAGCAAGCATCCCTAGGAACGAGACCCCAGTCCTCTGATGGTACAGTTCAGGTACCATCAGAATGGAAGGCAAAAGAGAAAAACCTAGGAATGGGGTGATTTCTAGATATTTGTATCTGATTTTTCAAGAATTTAAGAAAGAAAGTGGTTTTTTAAGTGAAAAGACTTTCTAGGAAAGAAATAAACCAAACCACTGATATTTTTTCCCATCCTTCCTTAGGACTACTTGGAAGAGACGGAAGAAGGCATTGATGACTTAGCGTCCTCTCGGTTTTCTGCAAACACCCACAGTCTAGCAAGCGGCCTGTCAACCGTAAGCAATTCTCTAGCATGCATTGGAAGAGTCTTCCTCCGGTGATTTTCTGGGCATTTCCAAAGGAGAGAATAATGTTCTTCAAAAGCGTGTGATAGTGATTTAAAAGTCATTATAGTCTCCTGCTTGCTCTTTTTTCACAGAGTAGTTTTCACTCGAATTTTGTGGTGGCTTTTCTTAAGGCTCCTTCCCTCTCCTACTTTAAAAACCTCTCCTCACCCAGGTTTTTGTTTTTTGTTTTTTGTTTTTTTTTTTTGCTGTACGTGGGCCTCTCACTGCTGTGGCCTCTCCCATTGCGGAGCACAGGCTCCGGACGCGCAGGCTCGGCGGCCATGGCTCACGGGCCCAGCCGCTCCGCGGCACGTGGGATCTTCCCGGACCGGGGCACGAACCCGTGTCCCCTGCATCGGCAGGCGGACTCTCAACCACTGCGCCACCAGGGAAGCCCCTCACCCATGTTTTAAAACCTCATCACTCCCTAGTTCAGGGTCTCATCAGCGGAAGCCTTTGAATTATCTCAGTTCTCAGCTGTTAAATTTCCCTGCCACCATTCTCTCAACTCCCCAACTAGCCTCCACTCTACCGCCAGTCACTTTCCTAAAACATGTACCCAAGTAGGTTTCTCTCCTACTCGCACATCAAGTCCACAGCTTTCCACTGCCTACGGGATAAAATCCCTTCTTACTTTGGTGTTTGAACCCTTCTTTGAGAGAGCTTTAGGAGCTCCCGTGTCCTAATACCCATCTATATGCCTACAAGTCTTGTCTTTGCTTCTCTGATTTCTGTCTGTTGCTCTAATACCCTTTTTTCTTTTGACCTTTGGGTGACTTCCTTAAAGAATTCTCAAGCAGGCTCTGACAGGAAGTGGACCTACCTAAGTGTGCCTGATGCTGACTCAGACACTGTGAGTGTTCAAGCTTTTCCTTTTTTCCAACCACACTTCACAAAATTCATGGTACAGGGAATCTAATTAGGTAGGCAATTTTTCCAGCATTTATCTCTTTCTGGCTTGTATACAGTTAACCAGAGGTTCTCTTTTAAAAGGTAAATAATGTGATCAGAATCCAGGTATTCCAAAGAAAGAACATTTGTTAAACATTAGAATCTGAGGAACAGTGAAAAGATACATGGTCTAAAATGACTTACTGCGAACAAGGCACCTTTAGAGTAAACATCTCTGTTTAACTCACAGCATTGGCTTGGTTAAGAGCGTAAAGTTTGGTTAGTAGTAAAATTTCTGTAACTTCTTCAGTTTCTCCCAAGCTTCAGCAGTTGTGGGTTCTTAAAGTGTCTTTTCTATATATGGACGTCATGCTTGCAGAGGACCCTCTTTGCAGAATTGACTACAGGGGAATGTGGTGTAGATACAAGTCAGTGATACAAGGAGGCAGTGAGGTATGGTGGGGAGGTCCTCAGACTAATAATCTGGAAATCTTGGCTTTATGTTGTCAACAAAAAAATTAATCAGTAGGTCTAAGAAAGAAATGGGAAATTTTATTGGAGCCAAACGGGGGATTATAACCCAGAAACAGCATCTCCAAAAGCTCCAAGAACTGTTCCACCCTTGTGAACTCAAGGCACAGTTATATAAGTTTTTGAGACAGAGGGCTGTACATTAAATGATGTGTTATGGACAGTTTATACAATTCAGATCTAAGTGTCATCATGTCCCCTTACAAGAGCAAGAAGGAATGTTATCTTTTACTGAGTTTCTTATTGATGCTAGGAGAATGTTGCTTTCTATGGTGGAGCAGTTATTTCTGCCAATGGGGGAGGTCTGGTTGATGCATAATACAGATACACAATGTACAGTGTGGGGAGAGAGGAGGCCAAAGGGTAAAGAAGAGTTTTTATGTTTAAATTTTTCTTATCTTGCCATAAAATATGAATGTTATGTCCCAGTGTCTTGGCACTGCCAACAGTTTCTGTGAGCCAGACTTTACTTATATGTAACGTGATGGGGTTGAGGCTTATTCTTGAAGCCCTTGAAGCTCAATGCATGGTCCGTGGACCAGCAGTATTGTATCACCTGGGACAGAGACTGGAAAACGCTGTCAGCTCACAGAGCCCCTAGTGTCTCAGTGATAATTTCATAGCACTCCTAGGCCAAACGTAATACCTGACTAGCCCATTTATTAAGTAGTTAGCTTGAAAAACAAATGTAATAAGTACTGGGGTCCTAACAACTTAGTTGCCATTTGAAAAAATAATATACATAACTTGAAAGAAAAATAATATTTTTATTCCAGTCTTAAATAGCCCCTGATGGGCTGTGCCTGCCTGATGGGCACTACATGACTTGTCAGATCTTGGAATCTGATTGGGTAACATCATTTTCATTTCCTGTTCCCTGTTGATTTTTGTGCAATACTTGCTTTTTGTCATAGCAACTGCCCCAAACTCAGCTTCACGTAGATAGGACTTCATTGAAAAGAATAAGGTGGAATTTAATGTTAATACTGTGAACCAGTGTTCGTAGTTTGCATGGTGTCTGGTAGTTGTCGCTGTGTTTCCATTGAAATTTTAAAATATCCTGCTTTGCCCCTGTGAGTTGGCTCTGCTGCTTTGGGATGCCGAGACACACAGTTTGGGAACTGTGGACCTAGGAGTTTGTTAGAAAAGCAGAATCTCAGACCCCGCCCCCGGGACTGAATAGATCAGAATCGTCATTTTAATGAGATCCCCAGGTGACCTGTATGCAATTTAAAAAATATATATTTATTCATTTTGGCTGCACCAGGTCTTAGTTGCGGCAAGTGGGATCTTTAGCTGCAGCATGCGGACTCTTGGTTGCGGCACGCATGCGGGATCTAGATCCCTGACTAGGGATCGAACCCAGGCCCCCTGCATTGGGAGCGTGGAGTCTTACCCACTGGACCACCAGGGAAGTCCCGACCTATATGCAATTGAAGTTTGCAAAGCACTGCTCAAAGACACTTGCTATCATGAAAATTTTGATGTTTTGTATTATGAATAAAAAAGATGAAGTAGGTCACTCACTGGCTTTCCTTAAGTTTTAATCTCCACATAATTATGGAATCCTTGGTTTGCTCTTGCCCTTGGCTTAAGCTTGGAATAGATACTAGCCACATCACCCACTTCCTGTTTTTTGATCAGTCTCTACTCTGAGCAATTGGAGGAGCGTAATGACTTTTGTTTTATGTATAAACAAAAAAGTATAAAAAGTAGGAAGTCTAAACTCTCTTTGCGGTCACCACAGTCCTTCCCGGTGGTTCACAGACAGGCTTTTGAAACTCCTGGGTCACTCCTGAAAGCCTTCCAGGTGGCCTTTTGTGACAGTCATGTTGCTAAGACATAGAGTCTGTGCCGCTGGTACTACAGGATAATTTCATTACATTTAATTTAAAATATGTCTCTTGCTATTAGTGTGTCTTCAGAAACTTCATTCATTCTGGTACATTTGGATAGAGTTTCTTTTTACATTTTAATTTTATTTATTGCTTGCTGTGTTATTTTCTTCTTTAGCATTCTGTTTTGTGGGTTGCTATTTTATAGATGTGTACAAAGCCATGGTCTTATTACTACCCATGTGGCTGTACAGCTGCTCAGGGGAGAGCCTGACAGCTATGGGCATATGACATTCTCCTGGCGTGCCCTTGTTAAAGGTACAGTTTTGTTACTGAACCAAACTTGGGTCTGCTCGCCTGGGCACAGTATAGGCAATCTGCTGACACCAGATTGTGGTGAAGGAAAGTACAGTGTAGATTGTAAAAGCACCAGTACAAGGAGGACAGGTGGTTGGTGCTCTGTAAACCCCAGAACTCCCCAAGGGGTTTCAGCAAAGCATTTTTAAAGGCCAGGTGAGGGACGTGGGTTGCAGGGTATGTGATCAGCTTGTGCACAGTTCTCTGACTGGTTGATGGTGTGCAGTCTTTAGGCTCCAGAAGGTCTGGGGGCTACGTGTTCATGGTCATCAAGTAGTTAATTTCTTCCAATTTGGTGGGAGTTTTAGCATCTGTAAAACAACTCAGGAAGTGTGCATCTGATACTATTATCTGGGTGCTTCAGAGAGGAGCTAAAGCAGAGGATATGGGGGCGGGTCTGTCCTGGGAAGGCCCCATAGCGTCTTGCTCGGTTAGAGTTCTGGCTTCCCAGAGACTGATGGGATACTCTAGGTAGATGTCAGAGAGAGAAGCTTGTGGCTTATGCTAGCACAGAAATAGGAAATGAATTTTTCTTTGTCATGGTTAATGCATTCTAGACCTTGAAGTAGATTGACCTGGAGTCTACCAGTGAAAAAGGAGAATGCTGCAGGGATGAGGAAAAGAGATATGATGGGAAATGCCTCAATGACCCTGTATTCATTAGAAGCAGTGAATAAACACAGGGTATTCACTAACCCAAGAAGACGATAATGCTTCCCCTCTCAGCAAGCTTCCTGACTTCCTTACTAATGGTCCTAGCTCTTGTCCTTTTTCAGGCTTGGATTTTATACAATACCAGAAAGACAAGCGATTTTTGCTTTCTTCCTTTCACCCTAAACTTCCCTGCTCGTTATAGACAATGGGAACTGTAACTGAATGAAGGGAGGTAACTTCTGTGAAGAGACCACTAGCATAACACTAGATGCCTCTTTTCATCTTGTTTATTCCAGACCAGCCTGAACAGCATGATGAGCGTTTACAGTGAAACAGGCGACTATGGCAACGTGAAGGTCAGCGGGGAAATCCTCCTCCACATCAGCTACTGCTACAAAACTGGCGGGCTCTACATTTTTGTCAAGAATTGCAGAAATCTGGCCATAGGAGATGAAAAGAAACAGAGGACAGATGCGTAAGCATATACCATATTCCTTAGACTATTTCGGTCACTGCATATGTGACTATGTGTGTTTGTCAGCATGTGTGTTTCTTTTTCAGAAGCGTCTTAGCATTCCTCTAGATTCAGAAGGTTGATCGTCACTTTCTTCCTGTGCCAAACTTCTAAATATTCTTTGATGTGCATGCATAATGGTTGTGTTCGTGGTTACCTGATTTTTACTTTTTTATTTTATTTTATTTTATTTCTATTCTATTCTATTCTATTTTACTTTATTTTATTGTATTCTATTCTATTCTATTTTACTTTATTGCATTGTATTGTATTTTATTCTATTCTATTCCATTCTATTCTGTTCTATTCTGTTCTATTCTGTTCCATTCCATTCTATTCCATTCCATTCCATTCTATTCCATTCCATTCCATTCCATTCCAGCACTGCACGGCTTGTGGGATCTCAGTTACCTGACCTGGGATTGAATCCGGGCCACGGCAGTGAAAGCACCAAGTCCTAACCACTAGACGACCAGGAAACTCCCAGATTTTTATTTTTATTTTTATTTTTATTTTTTTTTTGCGGTATGCGGGCCTCTCACTGTTGTGGCCTCTCCCGTTGCAGAGCACAGGCTCCGGACACGCAGGCTCAGTGGCCATGGCTCACGGGCCCAGCCGCTCCACGGCATGTGGGATCTTCCCGGACCGGGGCATGAACCCGTGTCCCCTGCATCGGCAGGTGGACTCTCAACCACTGCGCCACCAGGGAAGCCCAGCTCCCAGATTTTTAAAAAGCTATTACTCAGCGTGATTCAGGACTGACAGATTTGTAATTCACACAGAGGCAGCTCTTTGAGATAGAAGGCTGACACATTGGCACACCCCAGGATGTATAAGAGCATCCTGTTAATTTTTGTTCTGGGAAACACTCCAGAGAAAATTACCAAGCTGTTCACCCAATTGAACAACTTGAGAGGGCAATTTTGAAGCTCTCAGGAATTCAGGAACGAGCCCGGGAGGGCAGGGATGAGTATAGCACATTGGAAAGAAGCTAGATACAAAGATATGCCATGCCTTCCCAGGACCACTGCCAGGTTTGATGATTCACTAGGAGGACTCACAGGTCTCCACACGTAGTCATAATAAGCAAAGGGAAAAGGCATATGTGGCAAAGTTCTAAAGAATCCAGGCTTAAGCTTCCAAGTATCCTTTCCCGGTGGAGGCACATGGGATGTGCTTAAGGTGCTTAAGTCCTCCAGCAACGAACTGTGACAACACATGTGAAGTGTTGTCTACCAGGGAAGCTCATTGAGAGACTCAAGTGGGCATATAACAAATTCCCAGTCTCCCAGAAGGAAAGCAGGGGTTCAGCATAAGCCAGGTCCATATTATTTCCACAAATATTTTAGTCACAGTGAGCCACTTATATCTGTTCTGGGAATGATGAGAGAATCCTCCTGAAATCCAGGTTCCCACATGCCAGCCAAGAGCCGAACTTATAAGCAGGCATTTCTAAGGAGAGCAGTCTCAGACCTGCTGTTCACCTTTTTTCTACATAAAGATGACCTAGGCTCAGTAAACAACTCAGCATAGCTGTTTCCAAATTAGACAAACAGATGGATTCTGAGTACAGATTGGTCCACTTACCTCCTCAGCTAAATATCAGAGAGCTTCAGGACCAATATCATCATTTCGACTAGCATGGAAAGGGATCATCTAAAGCCCATCCTGAAGATGTGCTTCAGGACTCTGGTAGCATCCTTTACATTTCAATCTTGTACATTTCTGACTCTGCCGTGATGCTTCGCTCCAAGAGACTCCTGGGACAGCTCAAGGCAAGGTATTGGGTAGAATTGCTATTGTGATTTCAGGTTGTTATTTTTCATTTCCTCTTTTCGCCATTTTTCTTCATCCATCCATGGCCATTGACTCCACTCATCAGAAGTCCTGACATCTGAGTGGAGAGGAAAATAACCCCATATTTTGTGAGACCATTGATCATAATAATAGATTGCATTTATTGAGTAGTATAATATGTCAGCTTCTTGTATGTCTCAGCTAATTTTATCTTCACAATGCCATAAGTAAGCTCTTGAGTTCACCAAAACCAGTGAGGCCTGGAGTGATGCAAACCCAGCTGGCTTGACTCCAGAGCCCACACCCTTTACCACTAGACTTTACTGCTTCTCTCTTATTGAAGGTCCAGAGTTATATTTCAAGGTGTCCTGTTATGTAGACAACATTCCCTTTGGTTCTGTCTCTTATACTCACTAGCCTATTCCCTTTGCCTCTTTTATTCACTGATGTCCCCGAGCATTTCTTGCAAAGTAGATGTTTCCCAAATATCATTTTCACTTTTTTTTTTTTTTTTTTTACCATCTACAGTTATGTCAAGTCATACCTTCTTCCTGACAAGTCTAGAAATAATAAGCGCAAGACCAAAATCAGAACAGGCACCAATCCAGAATTCAATGAAACACTAAAGGTAAATAAATATTCTCTCAGAGTAACTTTAGTGATACAGTTTACAGCCTCATTGAAACTACAGAGGATTTGCATGTCAAGGCTTATATGTATTTTAGAAAAGTAGAATTTGAATCAATTAGTGTGATACCCTTGGCTCTCTGTTTGTGGAAAAGAAAAAATGTAAACCACTCTTAATCTGTTTTTCTCTGTTGCCCCTGAAATTGCACCTTAAGTAGAGACGATCCAGGAAAATTACATCTGACCTGATACATCTTGTCAAAAAGTATGTTTCATCCTTGGGAAAACTGTGTTTTTTTCTAGCTTCCCCTAAAACAAGTTTGTCACAGTTTTGACAGTAACTTAGCAGGTCTGTACCCACTCACTGTTCTGCTAACACAGCGTGAACATGTGCTGTTTCTTGTAAGGGTTTTGGAATTTGGCTAAATTTAAGCATGTGGTTAATGAACAGTGGAGATGCAGGGCTGGATTCCAGAACTCTCAGAGACAGTGGCCTAGATAAGAGATGACCCAGGCCCCAATTCTAGAGAAATTACTTTTCCCTATAGGCTTCCATGTAACCTCTTCTCTCACCCTGGACCAATCTAGCCTGGTAAGAAAGATCCAGGGAGATGGGAATGTAGACGTTATTGCCAGTCGCAGAGTAATTTATGGATCTTGTGCCCAGAATGATGGAGTCATAGTCCACCATAGGAGGAAGTTGGTGAGTTGGGGCCTGTGTCAGCAGGGTCATATGTGAAAGCAGGAACCAATATCAAAACAGATCAACGTGAAAATGAACGAATATAGGCAGAGGGTGAATCCAGCAGCCATGACAAGATAGCAAAGATGAGCCCAAGCAGAAGAGAAAAACAGAGTGACATGGCAGATCCAGGAAGCAGGGAGCCCAGGTTAATCATGCCAGGAACAGCAAGGATGGGTGTAGATGCAAATCCGAGATCAGGAGTTAGTCAGTCTGAAGCATGTCCCAGGTGGTCATTTGCTTAGGATAATCAGGAGGTTTTGAGGGTGTATGGGCTTGTGGCCCTGGATAATGTTCTGCTGGAAAAGGCAAAACCATGCCAACAATATTTCCTTTCTGCTCAACCTACGTATATATCGTTTCATCCCTGCACTTAGGCTGAACTTCATGAAGTTTGGCATTTGCAAGTTTCTCACTGTCAATACTATCCTGGATTTGGGGCTTCTTGTTATAAATAAAATAAGACAGATAAATTAGAGAATTGATATATTAAACATTGTGCTTACAAAATAGTTGTTGACAAAATAATTAGGCAAATGGAAAGCAGGTAAAACTGAAAAGGGGACAAGCTTCATCACCTGACACTTTTTATACAATATCTGAAATTTATCGACTCCTCCCCCCCGCCCCCCGCCCTGGCCCCAAATAGTCTGTTGATATATGGTTCAGTGCTAAGGCTCACACAAAATGATTTTATGGAATAGAACCCCAGGTGTAGCAGAAACGAAGATAAATGAAGATTTTTTTCTCTTGGGTTTGTTTTGTTCGTATTATTAATGTATTTGATCTGAAAGCTGGTGGTAGTAAATTTCAACCTGTCCTAGAAGCGGGCAGAGCCCTCCTTATGGAGTTGTGATGTTGTAAATCTGATTTTGCAGTATACCATCAGCCATGCCCAGCTGGAAATGAGAACTCTGCAGCTCTCGGTCTGGCATTACGATCGATTTGGACGGAACAGCTTCCTTGGGGAGGTGGAGATTCCTTTTGACTCATGGAACTTTGAAAATCCAAGTGATGAGTGGTTTGTGCTTCAGCCCAAGGTAGGAAATGCTTCCAGATGAGTCAAACAGTTATACAAGTAATGAGCAAAACTGATGTCACAGGCCTAAAGAATCTGAAGACTTCCAGTTGTCAAGGGATAATCTGAAAAGGTTAGTGCAGCTAATTTTGGAATAATATAATAAATGTAAATCCATTCTTTTGGAAACCCTTCTTCGCTACAGACTGTAAAATCAAGCCCCATAATCATATATCTTATTAATTTGACCTACTAAAAATGTAGTCATCATTCAAAGGTTGCCATGGATAAACAAAAGAATACATTATATGATCCTATTAGAAAGAGAAAGCGTTCATTTTCACATAGACAAAAACAGCTCCATAGAGCACGATCAGTCTCAAAACATTCTGTCTCTTCCTCATTCTCCACAATTCAGACATGAACAGGTGTGCTCTTGCCTTAGCTCACAGGAGGAAGTGACCAGCAGCTGAAGTATCTGGTTTCCTACTTTTCCTACTTTTGAGATTCAGAACCCAGGTCTTGAGTTATAGTCAGAAAAAGAAATCTCAAAGCTGGTTCTAGAAATTAAATGCTACTATAGTATGTTCTAAACTAAACCAACAGTACCTGAGATTCACTCTATGCAATTGGTATCTCTACATTTACAGTAATTTTTGAAGTCAAAAGTGAGGTGGAGAAAAGGTCACGTTTACGTAACCAAAGATTGTTCTTTATAGAGAGAAGGGCGAAAAGAACATGATGGTAAAGATAGTGGATGCAGATCAGACTTCCTGGGTTCAATCCTGGCTTCACGACTCTGTGTAACCTTGGGCAAGTTACTTAACTTCCCAGGCCTTGGTATTCTCACTGGTGATAAAAGAATCGGACGTCAGTTATAGGGATGCTGTGAGGCTTGAAGAAGCCTGCTATGTGGTGCTTGCAGTATTGTGTCAGGCACATTGTAAACTTCTCACTAAATGCTAGGCGGTATTTATGTTACATTGGAGTCCTTATATTGCAATTAACAGAAACCCCAGCTCATACTACTCAAAAAAATAAAAGGAAATTATGGGCCAGTGATTATCAAGCATGGCTTGATCCAGATACTCAGATCTTAGCAAGGCCCTGGAGTCTCTTGGTCTCTCTTCTCTGTGTTAGATTCACTTGCAGACTTCATGCAGTGTGGGCCTCCCTCACTAGCTCCAGGTCTGCTTCTCTTGGACACCACAAGAGCTGCAAACCTCTCATCCTTGCCTCACACTGTCCAGGAGAGGAGAGAGTTCCTCCTCCTCCAATAGTCCAGCCAATGCCCTGGCCCTGGTTCCTAATTCTCATTACATTATTTGCCCATCCTGAGCCGATCATTCTGGCTAGGGAGGTGAGATACATTGACTGGCTTAAGACAATCAGAACATAACTCTGGTATTGAAGGTGGTATTGCCCCCAAAGAAATCCTGCTACAGTAGTACTAAAAAAAAAAAAAAAATGGTGAGTGGATGCTAGACAGCAAAACACAAGTGACCATCATCAGTAACACTTGTTGATCGTCAGTAGCAGCATCGTTCACGTCTCATGGTTACAACCATCAGTGTGGGGTTAGCATAGTTATCCCCATTTCATATAAGGAGACTGAGACTCAGAATTTAAATACAATATTCTAGTGGATTTTATAAGTGTTGACCTTAAACTTGGTGTAAATAACTCATGGAAAATCTTTAGGGGGTTTAATTGGGCTATGGGTAAAATGGAAAATGAAATAGAAATCCTCAAACAGGAAATAACCTCATTCCCATGACTAACGTAAATGTGGTAGAGATAGGAAGTGCAGTGTTAACAAGTCCATGATAGCATAACATTTCTATGACATTAAATATGAGAAATATTTGGTCATTACATTACTAAGTTTCTTGGAATTGAATGAAAAGCCTCAACATAAAGGATAGCAATTAATCGGACTTAAGTCTCCTATCACGTGTAATGGGTGAGCATCAAAGAATCATAGAAAATGTCCAACATATCATATGATGCGTGACACTGATGAAGGACAAGTGACATGTATCTTAGTCCATGCAGTTAATTTGTCTGTCAGAAATATAACATGAAAGCACGGAGGGGCTCTTTGGAAACCAGCTTGGAGGGTTTCCAGTCAGTTTCTTGGAAATGGTTGGAGAATTTGCCCTGAGATGATATCAAAGCTCTCCCAGGCCTCTCCCAAGCATCCTCTGTGCTTAGGGGTCAACAACTTTCCATGGTAATCACCTTCACATTGACGCTGAGTGGTTTGACTTTCTATCATAAGGGAGAAGCGTCTCTCTGAGGCTGCTCAGGGTGGAAGCATCCTGATGGTGTTTAATGGCACTGGAACTCCTTTGGTCCTCTGCCAGAGGCTCTCTTTAGAAGTCTGTCCTCAGACTATTGTAAATTTTTCCCACGTAGGCAGAGAGCCAGAAATTCCTGGGAGCTTATGTACCCCCTGCCACAAGTCGACCCTTAGTCAGTAACTGATAGATAGGGGAGTTTGAAAGCTCAGCTCCACTACTGAGAGTGGGAAAAGGTCTGAGGCGTTATACTCCAAAGCTGTCCTGCTGGATCTGGCTGCGCCTTTGCCTGGCTTCCTCCTCTTCCCCAACCTATTTCCCCAACCCCTTCACTGGCCTGTCCTGGGAGCACTTGCCTAATAAGTCACTTGCATAAGAATCCTCACCTCAGGGGTGGCTTCTGGGGAACGCAACTGAAAGTGGTGTCTCTGATCCCTGTCATCTTTTTCCACCAAGCTCCCTCTGACACATACAGAGGAAAGGCTGCAGATTATTCAGACTTGCTTAGATACCATGCCTTCCAAAACCAGGGAGGCAGGATACCAAAACATGCTCTGTACGCCGCCTCCTGCTTCGTGAGTGGCTCATCCTCGGGCTGAGCTGGGCTCCCTCTGGTTGATTACCAGCCGGCTCTGAGAACTGTCATCTCATTCTCCGTCAGCCCCTCAGTCATTTCAATGCAGGAGTCACTTCATCAGCTGCAGCTAGAGCATGAGCAGCCTTGGAGACTTGATGCTTCTTGTAGATTATCCAGCTGAGGAGCTGAAGTGTGAGCTACAGGGACCAATTTCCTTAGTAATAGATGATCCGAATTAATAGTCTTTAAACGTTCAGAAATACTGACATCCTTTGGCAGTGGGAAGACTGGAAAGACACAGTGCCTTATTGCTTATCTACTCTGTGTTGGTGAAAAGTCCCTGGACACCTTCCTTTGTTTTTTTTTTTTTTTTGCGGTACGCGGGCCTCCCACTGCTGTGGCCTCTCCCCTTGCGGAGCACAGGCTCCGGACGCGCAGGCTCAGCGGCCATGGCTCATGGGCCCAGCCGCTCCGCGGCATGTGGGATCTTCCCGGACCGGGGCACGAACCCGCGCCCCCTGCATCGTCAGGCGGACTCCCAACCACTGCGCCACCAGGGAAGCTCCTTCCTTTGTTTTTGCTAGGTCTTACAACCCATGTGGAGGCCAATGCAGACAGAGAAGGAACTCAAGGTGCCAGATGTACTTACTATAAAGTAGTTTCACAGTATAACTCCCATTTTACTGCATGCCGTGGGACTGTTTATTAGCTATAACTCGTTATCATACCGGAAGGCATGTTAGGTAGTTAGACAAGAAGAGTTTGTCAGTATAAATTGCCTTTCGTGTGTTCCCAGAAGGTGTGATTATATAAAGGACCTTTGAAAGTCAACAGCAAGCTTAAGTGGTTTTCAAGGAAATCTTCGCCATATCCCACTCTTCAGGCAGAGTCAATGTAATATAAGGTCCCGTGAAATGACTGCCTAGCTAAAGGGCTCTCTCTTTATGTGGCAGTTTGGGCAGACTTGTGTCCGTGATATATGACCCCACCTTAGACCTGTAAGTGTCTGAGTGGAAACTCTGCTCCTACTCTGATGGAAAGTGGATCTCTATCTCTTCAAAAAGCCTTCTGGAGCAGAGGAAGATGTCAGTGCTTTACCTAATCCCCATTTTCATGCATGCATGGCTCCCCATGGCTGTCCCTCCTGCCAGCCAACACCTACCAATCTTTGTAGGAGAGGCGTCCTCAGGCTGCTGGAGTGGGCTTGGAATGTGGGCATGGAAAGCCAGAATAGCCTAGGTATTTAAGGCTTCTGGGGCTTGAGGGCAGAGCCCTTGATCAATAACTGATGGGTGAAGGAGTGTAAACCCTCTCAGTCCCTTGCCTCTGATTGGGACAGCTCTGAGGTGTGACCTGTCTTGTCCTCAGAGCTCCCCTGTGGGACTGAGCAAAAGTTACTCTCCATGAAACTTTGCCTGATATCACAACCTTGGTAAACCTCTCTTCACCTTGTGGTCCCACTACCCTACTACCCACCCTAATAAAACACGATAACAGGAATTCGTGTCTTCAGGTCTCCTCGGGACCCCAGAGTAGACAGCTTGTTTGCGTCTTCCTTGCTGCCTCTTCCCTGCACACATACCTCTGGTCACACCTGACTCCCTACCAGTCCTTAGACACGTTCTGCACAAGCCCCACTGTATTCTGCTCATCCTGCTTTCTTAACCCAGACTAATCATCTCCCCCCACCCCCCTTCATATGTCATCATCTCTCCCATCCTTTAAGGACCAGACACGGGCCCCCTCTTCACCCCATTCTGGATTACTCTCTTCCCACAGTAGGTTCTTTGTACTTGTATTGGGAGCAACTGTCATCATTTGTGTGCCATTGAGCTTGCTGTGTGGTAGAAGGTCTCTTCTCCCAGCAATCAGGACCAATAATAGTAGGTCAGTTCATAGACTAAGTCACAGAAGTCAAACACATACCCACTCCCCCAGTGCATTTCTTAATCATGTATTTTAACTTAAAACAAATACATGTGCATTCATTTTCAGGTCTTCTAATATAGGGGCACTTTGTTTTGTTTGAGTATGGTTTCAGTGATTGCAATTCTGTCATATCCTCCTGGCATAAATTCTGACCCTAATGTATCCTAATCAACAGTTTCTAGTTTGAGTTTCTCTAAAGTGAAACAAAAACTTAAGAGTACTTTGAAAGTCAACCAAGTGCAAAAACCTTTCTAAATATTCACGATCTTGTTCCTAATCGTTTACAGCTTGGAGCCCAAATGTAATCCAATAGCAAATTTATTTTCAAATCTTTAGTTCTGATAAGTCGGTCAACCTAATTTTTATAGTAGCAGCTGTCTTTTTGGACTCTTCAATTTGTGACATTCAGCTATATAATTACAGCCACAAATATGCCTGGCATATAGAGCTTCGGGGACTAATGCAGCTAACTTGATGAGCGTGCACTTAAGCTGATGGGAGCGGGCACTCACGGTCTTTTTAGAGGATTCTGCTCTTCACTGGGAATGGAGAGCATTCGGGCAGATGAATAGAGCTTCTGTTGAAAATATATCTCCTGGATAGAATGAAAATTCATTGAAAGCCGGGTCTCTCTCCGTGTCCCCGTAGCACTTAGCAAAATGCCTTAAAATCATTACTACAGGAAGCCATTCCATATGTGTTGGTAGAATTGAATAAACTGAATTGAATTCTGCAACCTGTTTCTGAGTAGGAGTTGGTTGAATAATGTAAAATGGTAGTATGCCAGGACAGGATGTTGCCTTGGAATTTCCTTGCACGTGTACCAAAAATACCCCCAAGATATTAGCTATGTGCAGACTGTAAGATGACTCCCTCCTCTGGATTTCTTTTGTGTGTGATTATAATGCTATAAGACTTCACCTTTATTATTTTCTCCTCCCACAAGATGTGAGGACTGTGTTTATACCAAGTCACCAGTATATTTGAATTTCAGCTAGAAAGTAATGCAACATTAATAAATCCCAATAATGCATGTTTTGATCTCTACAGATACACTACACATTAGTATGTGACACATGCACATATAATTTTTCCTGCCAATATATTTTCCTACCCAAAGATCTCAGCTGAAAGCAAACAGAGCTCGCACTGGTTAACTGTTGTTGTATAGAAAACTACCTTAAATCTTAGTGGCTTAAAACAACAATTTATTACTATTGTTCTTGATTCCGTGGGGTGACAGGACTCAGCTAGGTGGTTCTTATTTAAGGTCTCTCATACGGTTGAGGCTAGATGGTAGACTGAGGCTGAAGTCATCTGAGGGCTTGACTGGGCTGGTTGCTCCAGTTGGCTGTCTCATGCTTGATGTTGGCTGCCAGCTAGGCAGGAACTCACCTAGGCCTGCCAGCTAGAGCACTGACGTGTGGCTTCTCCATGTGACTTGGACCTCACATCATGGGTTCCCAGAGGGAGAATCCCAAGAATATTCATTCCAAGAGAAGGAGGTGAAGCTGTTCATTTTAAGGCCAGGGCCCAGAAACTGGTACATTATCACTTCTGCCATATTCTACTAGTCAAAGCAATCACAGAGCCCACCCAGATCCAGAGAGGACGAATACCTCACCTCTCATTAGCCATAGTACCAAACAAGCAGTTGATCTCTTTTATCTGTCATAATATCCATTATAATTTTCCATTTGTGACTTTCACATAAACTAAAATTTACTGACACCATCAAAACAATTAGAAAAGTCCTCTTACAAGGCACTCAGGTTAAAATAATTAAATATTAGATGGATAGTCTATTTCACCATCTAATCTCCTTTGTGCCCCTGGCAAGATAGCTGAATAAAACACTTCAGATGACTTCCCCACCTTTACTAATAAGTTTTACCACCACCAAGAGGAAAGAAAGTAAGGCAAGGATTCCTTTTGTAATGGTATCAGTCTTTTTCACTGAGGCTTGAACAGCCTTGGGCTTTCTTGTGGGTTTGGGGTTTCTGAATTCTTTGCGTCTGCCCTCTCTCAGAAGAGAGCAGTTCTCAGCCCTTGACTCATTGCTCAGCAGTCAAGTTCCTGCAGGAAAAGTCTGAGGAAAGTACACTACTTTTCTTACCCTATTTATGAAAAATCAAAGTTCCGTTGACTCAGTGGCAAACGGGAGACCTATATAGAACAGAGGCTGTGGGTATGTGCTCACACTGCATTTTTAAATTTTAAATTTGATTTTGAGAAGACTGTAGATCCCCATGCTATTGTAAGAAATAATACAGAGAGATCCTATATACCCTTTACCCAGTTTCCCCCAATGGTCACATCTTACAAAGCTATAGTGCAATGCCACAACCAAGGTGGTGACATTGATACAATCCACTCATCTTACACAGATTTCCTTGGTTTTCGTTTGTGTGTTTGTGTATTTATTTCTGTGCAGTTTTGTCACATGTGTAGCTTTGTATATCCACCACTACAGCCAAGATACAGAATGGGTCCATCCCCACAAGGATCCTTCATGCTCTTACATAACCACACCCACCTCCCCCCTGCCACCCCCATTCCTAACCCCTAGCAACCGTGACTCTATTCTCCATATCTATTATTTTGTCATTTCAAAAATGTCATGTAAATGGAATCGTATAGTATGTATCCTGTTAAGCTGACTTTTTTTCACTCAGCGTAATTCTCTAGAGATTCACCCAAGTTGTTGTGTGTATCAATAGCCATTCCTTTTTCATGCTGAGTAGTACTCCATGGTATGGCTCTACCACAGTTTATTTAACCAGTTATCTATTGAAGGACATCTAGGTTGTTTCCAGTTTTGTACTGTAACAAAGATGATACAAATATGTATGTACAGATTTTTTTCAGTGTGCACAGTCTTTTACTTCTCTGGGATAAATGCCCAAGAGTGAACATTGCTAGGGTGTATGGTAGTTGTATGTTTAGTCTTTTAGGAAAATGCCCAACTGATTGATTGCCAGAGTGGCTGAACCATTTTACAGTCCCACCAGCAATGTTGGAGTGAACCAGTTTTTCCTCATTGAGTTTTAATGATGTGAATTACCAGTATAGCTTTTCATAGTTGGTGGCTGGCAGCCCAATATGAATCAGACGTTACTGCCTACTTGCCCCTTCTTGGACACTTAGGAAGGCCTTGAGACATCAAGGACAGACAGACAGAAGTATCTTCTGGGGCTGTTTTCAGTGACATCTTTACCCCTGCCTCATACCCCAAATTATTTGGGTATGTTCAATGATGGGTCCAGTTCCCAATCCATCACAGGCACTCAGTGTCCATTGATTCACCGAACGTGTGTTATATATCTCCTCTCAAATTCCTTTTACTTCAGCGGTAAATGTTTTTTGTTTGTTTGTTTGTTTGTTTTTGCAGTACGCGGGCCTCTCACTGTTGTGGCCTCTCCCGTTCCGGGGCACAGGCTCCGGACGCGTAGGCTCAGCGGCCATGGCTCACGGGCCCGGTCGCTCCGCGGCATGTGGGATCTTCCCGGACCGGGGCACGAACCCGCGTCCCCTGCATCGGCAGGCGGACTCTCAACCACTGCGCCACCAGGGAAGCCCTTCAGCGTTAAATGTTATACTCAAATACCTTCATAGAGGTTTCCAGCCTCTCTTTTCTCATGCCTGAGGCATCTCTTGAACCAATAAGTGCCAACATAGTTGAATGGGAATAAATTGTCACATTTACGCTACCAAGTAAATATTGTACATTCAAATATGGGCTACAAAATTACAAACCAAGCATTCTCACTTTTTCTTTTCACCTGTCTCCTCTTGGCCAGGTGGAATTTGCTGCGGATATCGGCCTTCAGTACAAAGGAGAGCTGACAGTCATTTTACGTTACATACCCCCAGAGGAGAACCTGACACTTGCACTAGGACAGCTTCAAGGTGGAGAAAACAAATCAATGACTTTGATCGGGGACATTCCATTTCTAGAAATGTGGAAATAGGGATCAGGGGACTATGTTACTTTTACATTACACAGATGAAATTGAAAGGGTTAGGTGTCACTGTCGTTTAAGGAGAGTCGAAAAGTATATATACTGTGTATGGGGAAGGGTGTCAGATTCTTAGAAGGAAAGGACAGACAGAGTTCATACTTAGAGACCAACCTTAATGTTGAGATTTGTTTCCTGGAAGTCCAGGACATATAGGATCTTCGCCCCTGCCGGGTGGAGTGGGGGGGTAGGGGGAGATGGGGGATGGCCTGCTGAGAGGGGAGGTGCAGAAAGCTGCTGTCTGGATTTATGACATTCACAGCTGCTCAGGGCATCTTGAGAAAGAAATTAACCTGGAACACAGAATACAAAGGAAAAATCCAGATGGAGTCAACTTTTTTTTTTTTTGCGGTACGCGGGCCTCTCACTGTCGTGGCCTCTCCCGTTGCGGAGCACAGGCTCCGGACGCGCAGGCTCAGCGGCCGCGGCTCACGGGCCCAGCCGCTCCACGGCATGTGGGATCCTCCCGGACCGGGGCACGA